GAATGGGGACCCCTCCTGCCTTCCCCTGTGTCAACCTACTCGGGGGGGCTTTGAGAGGGCACCTGCCCCTCAGTGGGCACCCAGCTCACTCGAAAAGGTGCCAGGACCACCCCACAGGCCCCCAAGGACCCCCTAAATACATCCAGAGCCCACCCAGGACCCCCTCAATTCCCTTTTTTTGAGAGGACCTTTAGGGGCACTGGTGGCTGAGCTGGGCAGCAAAGTTCATACCTGTCTACAGCCTGAGTCACTGAAATGCTGAGTTTTAAACACAGAAAGGAGAAGCTTGAGGTAGTTTGTTGAAGGCAGAAGGACTGATTTCTCATTTATTTTAACTACTTCTGAAATGCTTCAAAGCCTGGTTTTCAGGGGTTTATTTAATTTGGCAAGTTCTTGGGGTTTTCTTGGGCTTTTCTTTGTGTGAGGGGTGGGTGGGTTGGTTGTTTTTACAGTTACTTGTCTCATATACTTGGTGCTTTTCCCAGGAGAACATTGATTTGTGTAGAGACAAAGTCACTGAAGAATTTCTTAATCTGGGGATAAAAATACTCCCCTGGGAAGGATGCAGGATGAGTTTGTATTATTTATTTAAGAGTTTCAGGCCCAAAACCAGCAGTTTCAGCCAAATTTTCTAAGTGACTGAGGAACCCTTTTCTCCAAATGTGCTCCCCTGAGGCAGTTTCAAATCCCCACTTGTGATTCAGTTTTCTGGAATGATTCTAAAGGAATTAAATGCTTTTTCTGGCCATCATCTAGGCAACTGCTGCCACGGATAACATCGATTGTAAGAAGGCAGAAGAGAAGGACATGAAAGGGCCACCTGTGAGCAAAAAGTAGTTTTCATTTTCAGTAGTCTCTGAATTTTTGTTACTAGTTTTCTGTTTCTGTGGAAGAGTTCAGTGTCCTCCCTCCTGGGAGGGATGGGAACAAATGATTAAACGTGGAAAATGTTCCGTTCCAACACTGCAAGTTGTAACTTATCGAGATGGTCTAAAGATGTCCAGATTATCGAAAACCTTACAAATTTTTCTTTTCAGAGAGAAATATTTGATGAAGAAATCCAGCAAAGGCAAAAGTGCAAGGCCAAGCCTCAGCCTGTGGAGAGCTGACGGGTGGCACTGGTTGCCCCAGAATGACATAGGGAAAAAAAGAAACAGGAATTTTGGGGTGGGATCGAGCCAGTTTGGGGTGGGATCGAGCCGTTTTCACTGGGATTGATCCACTTTGAGGTGACAGATTGATCCCTCTCGACTTTTGGGATGCAGAGCTGGGAGAGACTGGAATGTTAATGGTCCATGGCTCCAACACTCTCAGTTGCAGAAGCAGTGGGGGTTTTGCTGCCCATGGGCAAAGGAACCGCTCAGGGCAGAGGGGGGAACACCCACCCCTAGAGGGGACAGGCTGGGCTTGGAGTCAGAGAGGGGAAGTGTTATTTTTATGGTTTTATATCACTATAGACAGGAACCAAAACTGCCCCAAATCTACTCTACATGGAAACAAAATTGTTCTAGACTAGACCCAACATATATATATATATATATAGATGTACATAGATAAACTATCCTCGGGGGGGAGGGAGCTCTTCATCTTTCTACTCTGATACTTTCTTTCTTTTCCCTTCTACATTTTCTTAAATGTTATTTTTATGCTTTCATATCATTATAGAAAGGAACCAAAATGGCTCCAAACTTGCTTTACATGGCAACCAAACTGTTCTAAACTAAACACTACATATATATATATCTATAAACACTGATTATTCACTGTCCTTTCACTCTAATCTGCCCAAGGCCTGGATTAACAAGACCCTGGGTCACCCTCGGTGTCAGGGGGGTCAGGACAGGGGCTGGACACAGAGGAAGCTTCTGGCAGCTGCTCACAGAACCCACTCCTGGAGCTCCCCTGCTTCCAAAACATGGCCATCCAGACCCAATACACTGCCAAGCATGGATCACCTGCAACATGGGTCACCAGGTCTGTGCCCAGCATGGATCACCTGGAATGTGGGTCACCAGGTCTGTGCTCAACATGGGTCACTGTGGATCATCCAAGGGGGGTCCTCTGATGGTTGATGGAGTTGGAATAGCGGCCAAAGCTCTTCCTGCAGTCGGGGCACTCACAGAGCTTCTTCCCTTACTGGTGGGTCCGTTGGTGTTGGGTCAAGGTAGAGCTCTGGCTGAAGCTCTTCCCACACTCCCCACACTTGTAAGGCTTCTCCCCTGTGTGGATGCGCCAGTGGGTGACAAGGTGGGAGTTCTGGTTGAAGCTCTTCCCACAGTCGGTGCAGTGGAAGGGCCTCTCCCCTGTGTGTGTCCGCTGGTGCTGGAGGACATGTGAGCTGCGCTGAAACCTCTTCCCACATTCCAAGCACTTGTAGGGCCGTTCTCCAGTGCGGATGCGCTGGTGGGTGACGAGCTGGAGCCTCTGGTTGAAGCTGCTCCCACATTCCCCACACGTGAAGGGCCCTTCTCCAGTGTGGACGCGCTGGTGTTGGATCAGGTTAGAGCTGCTCCTGAAGCTCTTCCCACATTCCTCACATACATAAGGCCGTTCTCCAGTGTGGATGCGCTGGTGGCGAATCAGGTGCGAGCTGTACCCGAAGCTCTTCCCACATTCCCTACACTTGTAGGGCCATTCCCCGGTGTGGATGTGCTGGTGTCAGATCAGGTGGGAGCTGCCCCTGAATCTCTTCCCACATTCCCTACATTTGTAGGGCCGTTCCCCAGTGTGGATGCGCTGGTGTTGGTTCAGGTAGGAGCTGTCACTGAAGCTCTTCCCACACTCCCCACATGTGTAGGGCCGTTCCCCAGTGTGGATGCGCTGGTGAGTGCGGAGGTTGGAGTTGTCACCGAAGCTCTTTCCACATTCCCCACACGTGTAGGGTCGTGCCCCAGTGTGGATGTGCTGGTGTCGGATCATGTCAGAGCTGTTCCTGAAGCTCTTCCCACATTCCTGACACGTGTAGGGCCGTGCCCCAGTGTGGATAAGCTGGTGTCGGATGAGGTTGGAGCGTTTCCTGAAGCTCTTCCCACATTCCAGACACTGGAAGGGTTTCTCTCTGCTGGGAGGTTGGTCAGGGACCACCAGGTTGGAGCTCGGGCTCAGGCTCTGGTTGCCTTCCTGGCACAGCCTGGGAAGCTCCAGGTAGCACCCTGGGCTGGCTTTGGAGCCCCTCCTGCGGGGGGATCTCCGGCCCTTTTCCTCCCCGCTGCCTTCCTGCGCCGGGGAGCCCTTCAAAACGGCCTCTCCCACCAGGGTCTCACGGGGGGATTTGTCCTCCAGACTCTCCGGCCTCAGCTCGGGGCCTGGGGCAGGAAGCAAGAAGGACAGGGAGGGGATTTGCCTCCGGCCCACAGGGAAGGCCAAGGACATCCCCCCAACTCCGGCCCCGGCAGGACGGCGGCGGCAGCGGGGTTGTCCTGCAGCCGGGGCCATGCTCGGCTGACAGAGCCAGCACAACACCTGCCCAAAGGGCCACTGACTTCCTCCTCACCTGCCTGGGGGGCCCAGGGCATCTTCCTCTTCCTCGCAGCCTCCTCCTCCATCTGCCCAAGCTCTGGGAAGCAGAAATCCTGCTGGGGGGGAAAACAAAGGTTGAGTGTGTTGGCTTGGGGGTTCCTCCTGCCCAAGTCCACCTTTAGAATTCACCGGGCATCCTCTGTCCATAAAAACCTCCAAAACACCAAGATTCAGCCCAGAAAAATCCAAACCATCGAGATTCAGGCAAAAAACCCTTCAGAAATAGCAAGAAGTCTGCCACCTTCCAAAAGTTGAGATTCAGCCAAAAAATACGCCAAAATATGAGGATTACCCAAAAATATCTCCCAGAAGTCCCCCATCTCTGGTCTCTCCCCTTTGGGGTTCGGAGGGTCTCCCCTGTCTGTCATGCTGGGGGTCCCACTTAGAGATGCTGGGAGTATTGGGGGTCCCAAGGGTCCCTTCTCCTCTGACTCTTGCCTTCAAGGTGCTGCATTCCCAGACATTCCCCCTCTCCAGGTTTTCCACTTTGTTGTCCCGGGGATCCCAGGGGTCCCCACTGTCCAGGCTTCCCCTTCTCCACGCTCCCCATTTCAGGTTCCCAAGGGTCCCAGGGCTCCTCCCTCTTCATGCTCCCCCCTCCAGGCTGCCGGGGGTCCCCCCGCTCCAGCATCACCCTGCTCCACCCTCCACACTCAGCAGCTCCGGGGCTCCACACCCACTCCTGGGGGGCTTCAAAACCGCTGTGTCCCCCCCACCAGCACTGGGCTGACAATGGAGCCAGCGGGGCCTGACCCAGCAAAACCAACCCCCACCGTGGGGGGGGGACACACATCCCCCCACCCACTGCCGGGGCTCTGCCCTGGCACCCCCAAAAAACACCTTCTGCCCACCCCCAAGGGCACAGCCCTGCACAAGGGCCGGCTGTGCCCAAGGCAACCAAACAGCCCCACAGGCAGGAGGACACCAGAGGCGGCCCCAGGGCAACGAGAACAGGGAGCTGATCAAGGCCCCTGACACGTGGGCGGGCTCTGGGTTCAGCCTGAGCAGGGACAATTTGGCACTAACAGAACAGCCTGACTGCTGGCTCAGCACAGGGGGCCCGAGCTCCCCCCTCTCCAGGCTCTCAGGGCTCTTGCACCTCTCCCCTCTCTCCAGCCTCCCCCACTCTCCAGGGATCAAGGCATGGGGGCACAGACGGACTGCCAGGGCAACCCCACTCCCGCTCTCCCCCCTCCCCTTAGCCCCCCTCTCCCACCCCTTTCCCTCTGGTCCCCAAACCCCGCTCCCCCCAGCTCCCTTTGGGGGTCCCACCCGCTCTTTTCGCTTCCCTCACCACCCAACAGCAGCAGGAAGGGCAGGGACAGGGGCGGAGCAGCAACAGCAGGAGAACAATAACCCCCCCCATCCCACGGGTGCCTGGGAAGGGGGAACTCATCCCAAATATCCTGGGGGGAGCACGGGGGGTCGGGACATACTCGGGCTGCCAGCACAGATTTCCCTGCAAAGTCTGCAGTGAGTCAAGCTCTGGAGAGCAGATTGTGCCCCACGCATGGGATTGCAGAGGGGCCCTCAGGTCCCCAGCATCAATCAGCAACCAGGAATATACACAAAAGGTCCCCCGAAAGATTTTTGGGGGAGTATCCTGTAGGGAGGGGACAGTGTCACCCCAACAGGGCGGGGCTGGCAAGTGGGAGGCTGCTCCAGGGGTCTGCAAGAGGCCTCATGCTCTGCTCGGCCCCACCACTGGCTGGTCCCAACACCCCCGGCTGCCCCCGGCCCTGGGCAGCTCTGCTGCCACAGGCTGTGCCCTCACCGTGGCCCTGCAATGGCCCTGCCTGTCCCTCACCCGTGACCCTGCCCGTGGCCCTGTCCCTTGGCTCTCTCTCTGCCAGCTCAGTGTGGGGCACACGGGATGGGGGTCCCTCCCAAGCCCCCCGGGCAGCCGGCGTTGGCTGGGGGGATGTGAGGGCTGGGCCTGCTCAGCACAGTCCCAGCCTCGTGCCCAGTGCCTCTTTCCTGCCCCACACAAGAGCTTCCTGGCCCCCCCAGGGCTCCCCTGCTGCTGCCACTGCTCCTGGTCCTGCCTTTGCTGCTCCCTTGGCTGGGGCAGCGGCTGCAGGGGGGGATGGCAGCAGCTTCAGCTCCACGGCACTTCCTGGGGGGAGCTCAGCCCGGGGGGCACAGGCAGGGACCTGATGGGGATGGACAGGGGCCCAGCAGGGACAGACAGGGCCTGCAGGGGAAGGTACAGGGACAACCTGGCCCACCACACTGACACCGCTGTCTCTGCTCCTCCTTGCAGGCTCCGTGGCCAGGCACAGTTTGTGTTCCTGGGTGCCCACCATCTCAGCACTTGCAGCGGCTCAAATCAGCGCCCGCAGCTCTGCAGCAAAGCCCCAGCTCACCTGGCACACAGGGGATGGACACAGCACCTTCTCGGGGATGGGCACTCACAGTTTTGTCCTCTTCCCCACCACGGGGCTCTCCTTCCTCAGCAGCACCTCTGCCTTGCACTTATTCTCAGCCTCACCTCAGGGACAGCTCTGGGCTCAAGGACAGGAACCTGCAGGGAGGGGACATCATGTGCAAGCTCAGGGCTGCCTGCTTGCACTGGCCTCTGGGCTTCTTTCTCCTTCTACAACCAGCCCAGAACTCAGCCTGCTTTTCTAACACCACACATTTACACACTAACCTTGGAGACACACATGGACAGACATCTCTATCACCCTGGGGATAGAGCCTCAAGCATGTGCTGCCATAGGAATGGGAATCACAGAATCACAGAATCAGCCACGTTGGAAAAGACCTCTGAGATCATCAAGTCCAGCCCTTGATCCAACCCCGCCGTGCTTCCCAGACCATGGCACTGAGGCCACATCCACTCTCACCTTCAACCCCTCCAGGGACGCTGACTCCACCCTGCCCAGCCCATTCCAAGGTCTGATGACTCTCTCCGCAAAAAATTGCTGCCCAATCTCCAACCTAAACCTCCCCTGGCACAGCTCAAGACCCAGCCCTCTTGTACTACTGCTGCTTCCTGGCACAACAGCCCCACCCCCACCTGGCTCCAACCTCCTGGCAGGGACTTGCAGACAGTCAGGAGGTCTCCCCTGAGCCTCCTCTTCTCCAGCCTCAACACCCCCAGCTCCCTCAGCCTCTCCTCACCCCACTTGTGCTCCACTCCCTTCCCCAGCCTCGCTGCTCTTCTCTGCACCTGCTCCAGCCCCTCCAGGGCCTTCCTCAACTCAGGGGCCAGAGCTGGACACAGCACTCCAGGGATGCCCTCACCAGCGCTCACTCCAGCCCAACAATCACTTCCCTGCTCCTGCTGACACACTCTTCCTCACACAGGTGCCTCTGCAAAGCCCTCCTGCCTTCAGCACATCAACACACCCCCAGCTTGGTGTCACCTGCACATTTGCTGATGAAATGCCTGGTTCTGCAGCAGGTGCAGATGCTCAAGGGGCAGCAGGACCAAGTCAGGGGCCTGGGGGGACCTGGGGGACTTTGGGGTGTGGGAGGGTCCTGGGGGAGCTGGGGAGGGGCTTTGGGGATTGGGGGTACAAACCAGGACAGACCAGTACAGACCAGTACCTCCTCACTGCTCCCCAGATCTCTCCTGGAGCTGGGCCACGTTGTCCTGGGACACCTGAGCCCCCCTCCCGTGCCCTCCCAGTACAGCCCAGTGCCCCCAGTACAGCCCACTGTGTTCCTGTCCCAGGGTGCCAGGTGATCCCTCTTTAGGGGGGGGGGGGTTGGAAGGGATTTGACGGGGGGCTGGGGGAGATTTGGCTGGATCTGTGGGGGGGTTGGATGGGGATTTGGGAGGTTTTAGGGGGCTTTGGGTGAATTTGGGGGAGTTAAAAGAATCTTGTGGGCATTGGTGGGTCAAAGGTATCTGGGGGGGAGGGGATTTAAAGAAAAAAAGGGGAGTTGGGGGACATTTGAGGAGGTTAATGGGGCCTAGAGGGGGAGAGGAGGGGCTTCCCTATAAGCAAGTCAGTCCTGAGACCCCCCTGGTGTCCCCAAGACCCTTTTGGTGTTTCCAGTTCCCCCTTTGACACCCCCAATTCCACTGTCCCAAAACCCCTCCCCACTGTCCCCAAACCCCATCCCTGATCTCCCCAACCCTCCATCTCACCCCAGGAGCCCCACCTGGACCCTTTGACCCCAGAAATGCCCCCCCCCCACCCCCCCCATGCTCACAGAAAGGCCAAGGGCATCTGGGGACATGTTGCAGTTAGTTGGGGGGGATTTGGGGGGCACTGGGTGATTACTGGGGCATACTGGGACACACTAGGGAGAAGCAGAGGGCACTGGGAGGGACTGGGGGGAACTGAGGGATGCTGAGAGGGCACTGGGAGGGACTGGGGAGTTACTGGGGGATCACCAGGACACACGGGGGGACACTGGTAGCTTACTGAGCCAAACTGGGGGTTACTGGGTGCTCACTGGAGCATCACTGGGCCATATTGGGGGGCAGTGGGAGGTCACTGGGCTATACTGGGGGCACTGGGATCCCCTTTCCTGGATCTTCTACATCTGCCCCCTGCACTTTGGGGGGCACTCCCAGGA